ATATTACAAGCATTTTGAAAAATCATACTAGGGCTTATTTTCAGATTAGGTCTCATTTTCGGGGAAATAGGGTAGAAGGAAGTTGATAAAATTTAAACTCACAGAAGCATACATAGTAGGCAGGATTTAAAGGGTGTGTGGTTTTAAGGATAAAACAGAGCCAGCAACAGCCAAGATTTTAATTTTTCTGTGATGTTCCTCTGCAGCTAGTATGGATTTCCTTGGATCTTCAGTGTGATAGCTAAAAGAAAATCTTCTCTAGTCATCCAAATATTACCAAAATTGTAATGGAATAAAGGCACAGGTATAATGGCTTGCCAGGGGCAGGTGTGTTAACTACATTTATTGTTATCTAACAATTAGCCAATCATGGATGCAATAATATGGATGTTACTAATAAGAATTACATGCTGTCAAGTCAATTCTGGCTAATGGCAACCCTTCCCAGGCTTTTCTAGGTAAAGAGTACTCTGAAATAGTTTACCATTCCCTTCTTTTTGGAGATTGTGCTGATAGCCCAGGGCTATACAGGATGATTTTTCTCCTATAAGACTCAATCGGGAATTGAAGTCCTGACTTCTGTGCTCTGTCTCATTGAACTGTCCAAGATGTGAGTGAAGAAATATTGGCCACAGGGGGAAAAATCCTTTCCTGACTAGTTTAACAAGATCCACCGGTGGAGTTAGATGTAGCCAAGCACCAAGAATCTTATTCTAATGGTGTGTGAATAGCCTATTACTTGTTAAAGACTTAAATTTTTTTCCTGCTATGGGGTGAAGAGTTCCTTTCCTATCCAGAAACTGCTAAAAATTAAGTACAGCTGGATTTCTGAAGTAGGATTGCTTAGCTAGCTGGGGCCTCAAACTAAATGAAGTCGAAATTAATAATTTCCTCATATCCAGCAAAAAAGCTACACAACTCTATTGCAAATTCTTGGTGTAATGGAAAACGAAATGTGAATAGATTTAACTAAAAAGGAGGGTACACGTTTGTTTTAAAATGGGAGGTGTGCAAATTCTCACCTCTCATGATAAGGAAGTGAGGCAGTACTGTTATTATTGGCTGGATCCTCCTAGTTCCTGCCTCTGTGATTTCTGTTGCTTTCCTTTGGATTCCCTGTGCTGTTAACTTAAAAACAAAAAAGGAGGTGGGAGCAGGGTATGTGTGAAGGAGAAAAGAGGAGTGCGCCGTCCTCCGTGGAGAGCCATACAGTAGAAGAGGCGGAATGCGCAGTAGGAATACTGATTGACATTGAACAGACTGAAGTAGTGCCAGTCAAATCTACGGAAGTGTGCCTGGTAGAGGAAGGAGGGGAGGAGCTAGATTTGATAGTCTGGGAGGAGATAAAAGGAGGGGAAAACGCGCGGGCTTTGAGAATCTGCACTGACGCGAATATAGAAAGGAGTAAGAACCGAGGGGTCCAGACGGAACCCATGCTTGGGTTTGAGACTCCTGTTGGAGCAGCGGCCGGTTTCCCTAATCTGGCAACTGGAGGAGGTTTGTTGCCAGATCCGAATTTCCCTCGGGGGTCTGAGAAGTCGTATGAGCCTCTGGAATGGCTGATAACGGTACACCATCGCAATTACCCTGGTGGGAGGAGGGTAATACGCCCTGGACCCGAATATCAGAAGAAGCCCTTGGAAGGGGACTGGGCAAGGCATCCTTGCTGCGGAACGGTTTGTGCCGTTCGGAGTGCCCCCCTCCGCCCAATGACCGACCGAGAGAAGTTCGGACCGGCCCCTTATTAGGTGTTCAAGAGATGCCTCCTGATGTGCGCGCGAAGAAGTATCATTTGTTAGATGACTGTTTGTTGCAGGATCCGTTTGATCCGAAAGAGTTAAGCTTCGTGAACAATAAACTTTCCAGTGTTGGATTTTATGACGAGCCTCCGACTCTTTTTCCCGCCTACACCACCAGCGCCCCCTCGGCCAGAGGAGAACTTCCTTACAGTATGTAGGTATTATCATGTGACCGTTGCGTCAAGCCCCAACATGCCTACTCACAATGAATTAAAACAAAGTTAAAATAGTACAAGTTTGGCATGTTACAACCAATCCTGCACCCATTTGCAGCTAACCCACAGTAAATGTGTTTCCTCTCAATTATTGCAAATGTGTACTTCCAGCCCTTGTGTGCATGCTCAGTGTTCTTGCTGAAAAACTGCCCCATTAATTATTTGCTTCTCTTCCTTGACTTCCTGAGAGGGCATTTTTAAAGTCCAGTTGTCAGAAGAGGTTGCCTGACCATACTTCCAACTTCTACTGTAGTCATCTTATTTTCTCTCATCGTACATCTTCAGAGTAGAAATCTGTATGCGAAACTACTTTAGGGGAATAAAAATGGAAGTGACAACAATCTAAGTCATCCAAATGGTACAAATAGACACAGTGCTTGTCATCAGCGACTGGCATTAATGAAAGTCAGAAATTGTGTCATTTTATTCAATAAAAGTTACCAACTACTGAACAATATTTAATTATTTAAAAATCAATTTTCTTTCTCTTTTCATGTGTACACTTAAAAACCTTCCACTGGAAATCAGTAAATGCTGTAATAAGTATGATATGTGAATTGTTTTTAAGGTGTGGTCAAGTTACTTCAGACCTATGGTGACCCAATGAGCTTCAAAAAGTTCTATTGTTAACAGCCCTGCTTAGGTCTTACCAACTCAAGGTCCATGAATGGTCACCCAAAAATACTTGGTATTACTCACTCTTGGAAAATGCAAGTAGTGTTCATGAAATGCATGAATGCAACTGAAAGAACTTTTGTGCACAGTAGTAAAAGGTGACCTATAACCATATTTGCTTTCTTTAATAGAACAGGTTCCCTCTTAAATTGTATTTGCTTTTAGCAGTAAATTCCTATTCCTAAAGGGAGTGTTCCCAGGAAGCACTTCCTCTTAACAACCAGTAAAACAACTCTGGGGGAAAGGTTTATATTCTCTCTCCCCGCCTAACTAGTTGAGGGAGCATGTGGCCATAAAGCATGGGTATTGCCTCCTTCCATCAAATGACTTTTTACTATGGAAGATAGGAATTTATTTAAACAATTATATAGACATGGGAAGCTACCTTATATAGAGAGAGTCCATTTAGCTCAATATTGTGAATTCTGTCTGGCAGCCACTTTTCAGGGTTTCAGGTTAAGGTTCTTTCCTAACTCTGATATTCCCTGGTGCTCTCCTAGCAAAACAGGCTTGATCCTGCTTAGTTTTCCAAATCTGACTAGTATTCTCAGAATGGTTGGGGTACTTATTGGCTGAAACCATGCTGTTCAGCTAGGCAAATGGTGTAACTTTTAGATGTGAATTGCTATCAGGTAAGAAACCTCTGAAACTTCTTGTTCTCTTGCACACCAAGCTGTGTGACTCAAGATGCAACAAATAATGTCTATAGAGATTTCGTAATGCATGGTAGTCCACTTCCAAGAGTTACAGTTTATATAACCATTCAACATGGTTTTCAGCTGTTGCAATGGTAGTTCTCAAAATTTCAGAGAATATCCAAGAGGAGGATATGAAAGTTCTACTTATCTGTAATATTAATAGTAATAATTATATGCCATTATGACATGCAGCAACATAGATTCCTGCAAAATCCGCACTGCAAAATAATTGAGATACATTTGTTTCCACTTGCATCTTTCCAATGAATTCATATTCAAACAAAAACAAAAGCAAAAGCCTGTGGAGGAAAGTGATACAGAAAATTAAGAATAAACTGTAAACTGCTCCCGGATTTTCTTAGGTCTTTAGCATATTTCTGAACAATGCAATGAAAAGTATTAATATCAGAAAGCTACTTTCATTTTACCAATATATGATTGAAAGAATAGTTAGTTTGGAAAGTAACAGGTTTATTAAAGTAACAGGTTTATTAATGTGTCTGAAAGAAGATATAGAGTTGATAGATCCAGATTAAATTAGTTGTACTTGTTTCCTTTGAAATGGGATTTAAATCATGCTACTCCCTGAAATCCAGAATTCTTTTCTATACTTGTGCTTCCCCCCCTTGTTTTGGACTACAAATCCCAGATTTCTGCAAATCTGGGAGTCCAAATGAACACCTACACACACAAAAAAATAGCTCACCTCAGAGAAATACATAAGCTGGAACTCTTCATGGCCTACCTTCCTTTTTGTAGAGAAACTAGGCCTATGGTACCCTTGAACCCTTTCAACTTAGGCCTTCCTCCCAGGTAAACCACATTTAGGTGTCTGTAGGTCTGCCAGGTAAGACTCCCAAAATTAAGAATTCTGGTATTTACTATTAGCCAACTTCTCCCCAAAAAGTTATGGCGGGAATGGTGCATCCCTATAATTTTCTAAGTAAGACATTTCAGGATCAGTGACAGATTGGGTAGACAATAATCTTTTTAAATGTGTTCAGTATATAGAAAAATGTATTGCTGAAAGGCAGTATTCATTTAAGTATTTTCTTTAAAAACAATAATTTAAAATTGAAATATTTTGGTCCACATAAACTCACCTCCCAGTAGTTTCAATTTTTGCTACTTTCTGCCATTCTGACAGCATGGATACTTGAGGAGTTAACTTTTGAAGCAACTGAAAATTAATTATCAGAATCCCATATTGTGCTCTTTAAAGGCAACAACTGGAGTACTGTAATAGCATGTTCATACTGTGTTTGAACTCTCTTAGTGCTTTGTAATTTTTTGAGTGCTAACAAGGAAAATGCAAGATCAAAAGCTGGTTGTGAATATGAGAGTTCCAATTACATGCACAAAGGCCACATCCTACGTACGTGGAGATTCCTCATACAAACATGTTTGCTTCTGTTTTTATGAGAAAATGGTGGGAACTCTCTACTTGTGCCCTCCACTAGTATTCCGTATATATCTCTGAAGTTGAACTGTGAGTAATGAAAGTGAGAACTAGAGGGAACCACATTCCACACTGAAGAAACTGCACAATGTACTTTTGAATGAAAGTTGTTGATAGTTATGTTCTGCCTTGCCATAATTAATTCATAGACCCATACTATATGTACAGTTTATTCCAATAGAGACTGTAATTTTATACACAGTATAAAGGGGATCCTGAAGCACACACATACTGTTTAAGCACCTTTTTTTACATAAGCATTAAGTACCCTATCATTAAAACAGTATCCAGAGATTTTTTTAAAAAATCAACTACATATAAGTAGATCATATGCACAGTGCAAGAGATCTGTTCATAATATTTTAATCACAATAAACAAAACACTGTGATTTAACACTAATTTAAGAAGACAGCGGCCCTTGTGGTACCAGTCAGATGTTGTTATGTGTGTAAGAGATCACTAAAGCAATGTTAAATCTCAGATAAAGATGACAAAGTCTTATTATGATTTAAAAATAAACCTTGTTCACAAGGACCCAAAGTTTTACAAAGCATTCCATTCATTCCCCTATATTTTTTTAAAAAAAATTATTATAATTGAAAAGGGAACTGGACAAATTATTATTATTATTTACTGATCACAAACTGTTTTTGAACACTGCGTTTCTACCTTAATGGAACATTGTCTCTGCCCCAGCCTGGGTTTGAACAGGATGGAGCGCCAGGAGAGGAGCAGGATTCTCAGCATTTTAGCTAGGAGGCTTGGTATTCCTCCTCCCTGCATTATTATATTTATATATCTCTAAAAAAATACTGTGTTATAAACCATCTTCAAAGTGTACAAAATGACCATGGAAACCAAACCTTAATTATGTAAACAAATCAGCACACAATTTCTTCATTTTCCCTTTATAGCACAGTTAGGGAGGGGGGATGAATATACCATTCACAGAGAAGACAAGTCCTCTTGAGAAGAACCACAGCTTCACCAACACAAATAAAGCACAGGCTGCATTTGTGGAGAGCCTGTAATGCTTTTAATCCCCTCCCTTTCATCTCCCTCAGAGTTCACGAATATTTTGAGTTCAATAAATAGTACAAAAATAATCCTTTATTTAAAAATCTTGAGATGCACTGTCTTAGGTCCCATACAGCACTTTGTAAGAGCACTGAACTTTAAAAAAAAGAACAAAAATAAAAAAAAACCCTCAACAAATGGAAACCTTGTGGCAACGACTATTTCTGGATCCAGCCCCTTTTTTGTCTCTGGCTGGTTAGGTTTCTGTTCTTCCAGTTAAGGAAAGCAAACATCTCTCTTACTCCTTTGTTTGAGCAGACTCTTTTCTTGGCTCAGATTAACAGAGTTCAAGAGGCTCCACTTACAGTATAAACCTTTCTCCCTGTGTTTGGAGGCTGAACATTCCTATTATTCCATTTTATTGAATGTTATGGCAGGTTCATTCATCACGGTGGTTTCTCCTCCACTTTGGAGCCAATACCTTGACATTTAAGCACACAGCCTCCATGTGAAACGCGTCTTCCCAAGTTAGTCAAAAAAATCCATGCCTGGTAAAGTCAAACAACAACAAGAACAAGGACAACAACACATTAAGTCTGCTCTTCACTGCCTGGATCAATGTTCACAGGTTGACTTTTCCCCCCCTCAAGGGACAGGTTGTTAGCATTCGGCATCTACGGTGTGTACTGTAACGGCAGCCTGTAAGTGGTGACTGTGGTGAAGTGCTGGGTGGTGTAACCTGTAGTGGTGGAACTTGTGGCTCAAGAGCGCAGCAGTCTGAGGAGGGGTGTCCAGGTCTAAATCTTCGTCATGATTTCCCACATCTACACCAGCAGACAATGGGTCGTTATTGCAGGGAGGGTTTTCGCTGTCTTCCTGAGGGCTCATAGTGCTGTAACCTGGAATGCAAAACCATAGTGGTAATGCCTGATGATGCTCTAGCAAAAATACTCAGACAAGCACATGTTGTCCAATGACCTAAACTATCATTCATGTTGTTAAGAAATTTTGTAGCAGAAACTTTGTTGTACAGTAAAGCTAAGTGATACATATATGTTATAATATTTTGTTTCGCTTTAAAAGGTTCCCCTTTCTACATAGTCTCCTTGAAGCAGACACCACCTTCTGCTTCAGACAGATTCAAAATGATAATTTCCTAGTGTGCTTGTACTGTTTTAATTATTTTGCCCGAGAAGGCGAACAGAACAAAACCAACAACAACAACCAGAAGTTGCTGGAAAAAAAGTGTGCATCTCACAGAGTTGGAATGAATGGAGAATGAACAATTTTTTAAAAACTGCTTATAGATCTCTCTCTTCTCTCACACACAGTAGCTAAACTCCTCTTATTTAGGATAGTAAGTCATATTAGAGTAGGCCCATTGAATCAGCATGGGTTTGGTAAGTCAACTCCTCTGCACTTGTTTCAAATAGGCTTACTCTAGTCTCAGTACACTATGGTAAATAACTGCTAAAGTAGGCCCATTTGAATCAATGGAATTTACAGAGTTGACTTGCCAAACTCCCACTGATTCAGTGGGCCTAATCCAGTGTAACGTATTTCACTAAACAACAGGGTTTTAGCCAATGAATATGAGCAGCAGAAATCAAACACTCTCTTCAGTGTTTAAATGCTTCAATTATATTGCATATAAACTGGCAAATGCTAATCCCCTTAAATTTTTTATCAACTTAAACAAAATTAATTCATTAGTGCCTATTTGATTGTTCCACCAAGCCTGTTGTTAATTGAAAGTTGTTGCAGTGTATTCATTTCCTTATGAACATGTATTCCCAATGCCTCTGCTCCGCTTTTTGTTTAAATGCTCAAATCTATCCACTTACAAATCATGCAATCCATATTTCACAGCACGTGAGAGTACTGGAAAAAACAACTGTTGAAACCATAAGGGAAACACCTGCGATGCCTCACTTCCTCCTTTGTGAAGTTGCTGCCTTTGCAAGTGTATCTTCACAGAATCACTTTGGAATGCTGATAGGCCATCGGAAGCAAAGGAAAAAATCTCAACACTACTCTCCCTTCTCCAAGTTCTACACATGTGTAGCAGTAGGCCTCCGTAAGTGTCCTCCTCTGCTCCATCAAACTCAATACTTTTGATGAGGCAAGGCATCCAGCAGCACACAGATGCTTCTTCTGGGTTCTCCACAAACTTCAAGAAACTGGGGAGTATGTGTTAACATAATTCTCAGCGTGGCCCTTGCCCTGTGTGACTTGAGAAGCCCCTTCTTCTCTTTAGACTTTTCTGGCATGCCCAGGGACCTCAGGGGGGAGAGAAGAGTCAGTAGCAAGGACCAGTGAGAGGTAGGTATGAAATGAAGGATTAGGTTGAGCTAGCTGATTCTCCCTCTTTCTGAACTTTTCTTCTTTCTTGTTACTCTGTGATGGAGCCTCCTCCCCACAGGACACCAAGTAACAGAGACAAAGTAGTTGTATCCTAGATGCACCCAGGAAAGGAGACCGTAGTCACCATCATTAAACACTGACAGGAGAGACAACAAAGAGGAGAAATAAGCATGTATGATATCTCTTCTTCCCTCCTGTCTGCCACTGCTACTTGCAGTGGTTTCCTTTCTGCACAATGATAACCATGTACCGTATTTGTGTTGTACACAGTCTCAAGATCTCTTGGGATTGGTGTAGTAGAGACTCCAGTCTCATTCACACGAAGACTTGTAGAAACTGCATTCATTTCTGGTGGTTTCATACTGTTGACAGAAGTGTCATCTGAGCAGATGCTATCAGTTTTGTAAGACACTGTGAACTACCCCAAAGCAGGTGGGACTGTATTGGGTGTAAGTATGAAATGTGAAGTTAAACTAGCCAGACTTCCTACTTGTAGCAAGCAAGGAGGTCACTACGGGAGTTAGGGCTGAGAAACATCACAAATTCAGCAGTCATGCAGATCTATTGTAACATGGCTGTTCTTTAGGACTTTTATATATAATCTGTGGTAAATAAATAAGCAGATTCTGAGTACCATCCTGGAAACCATAAAGCAATGGAAGGTCTGTTCTGAACTAGCATGACGGACTGAATTTCTCTTTGTTAAGATCCAGCTTTTTTTGGGGGGGGCACAGACAATTTGTTCTGAAGGGTAATTGAGACAATGGTATTCTCACTGAGAAAAGACGACCAAAATAAATAGCAATTTAAGCTCCCCTATGGGACCTCATTTGTGCTTCCTTCCATCTGTAGTGACGCTTTAGGGCCTTTATCTGCCTTTCAGTTATTGGCAACATTGATTGGAGACAACACCATTAAAATCCACAGATCTAGGGTACATTTCAGCCAATTTGTCTGGCCGTACTTTAGTGAGCTTTCGAAGTTGATCTACAAAATATGTGAGGAGGTAATGCCCTAAAGATGCTGACATCCAGAAAAGTGATCCAACATAAAAACGGGAAAATATGTATATTCTACAAACATATAGAAGGCAAGATTTGTTTTTCAATATAAACAAGTGTTTAGAAGAAATCTAGAATGAACGGTTGCAACATTTGCCAATTAATTATGAGTTTGCAAATTTTGCGCTAGGAAATTTTCACTGAACAACAAAATGCACTTGCAAGTCAAATTTTCTGAACCTTTCAGATGTATATAAATCTGCCAAAGAATGGCTACATATATTTAATATGTGCCACTTGCCTATGAAAAGCTTTGGAATACCATCGTTCTGTTAGGGCCAGTATGGTGCAGTCAACATGTGTGAGATGCTGCTTTACCACCAGTTTCATCATGGGTTTAATTCCAGAAGCCACAATGTTACTTATCAGGCTATTTTTAAAATAACCTAGTTTCAGGTAAGCTTATCAGATGCACGTTTCCTCTAAAATCAGTCTGCTTTCAGGAAAGACAGAGGGTTATTTGTTATGGTTAACTCTCTCTGAGTTAAAGAATAACTCTATCATGTCATCTTCCACACCCCATATATTGTTTTATTATCAGATGGGAAAACACGTCCCTCCATCAAACAGAAATTTCCGCATATTCCCATGCAACCGTTTTATGAAATGCATTGAAAAACATCTGAAACAAAACTGGATATCTTAATGCCATCTAGAAAAACTTAAAAAATAAAATAAATTGCAACCTTTTGAAATGAGAAATCATATAGACCCATTTTGTAGATGCAGAAAAAACAGGAGACACGGGGAACCTTCTCCAACATTAGGCACTCCAAAAGTTGACACAAATTGTTGCTTAAACTGCTTGCCTACTTTGTGTCACTTCTGAGACTAAGAAAGGAATTATTCTTGGCTTTAGGGATGCTTATTTGGTATAGTCTTTTCTTATGCCTGTTTTGCCTCACAATACATGGGATAGACTAGTATTGTAGTTTTTCTAGTTCACTGGTTCCCAACTTTGGGCAACCTAGGTGTTCTTGGACTAAAACTTCCAGAAGCCTTCACCACTAGCTGTGCTGGCTAGGATTTCTGGGAGTTGCAGTCCAAGAAGATCTGAGGACCCAAGGTTGGGAATCACTGCTCTAGATGGGCACCTAGTATCACAAAATCAAAGCACAGGTTTACGTTTTCAGTTGACCTAATGAACTGATCAACTAATTATAACTGGAATATGTTAAACTCATGTAGTACTGGTGGTTGTTCTGGGTTTTCTGGGCTGTTTGGCCATGTTCTTAAGGTTTTTCTTCCTAACGTTTTGCCAGTCTCTTTGGCCGGCATCTTCAGAGGACAGGAGTCAGAACTCTGTCTGTTATGTAGTACTGTTGTCTTTCACATACTGAAATTAGACGCTGTAAAAGGCACCCTCTTCTTTCACCCAAGTACCTAGTCCTTTCTACACTGCAAATATGGACAACTCTTCCACCCATCCCTGATGTGCTGGAGAAGCATCCTGATTACAATACCTAGGAAAAACATATTGTTGTAAAGAGGCAATGTTGTTCCTTCTGAGGACTATAAACTCTGGGATGGAGGACAATTTTACTATTCTTCAAAGGCTGACATGCTAGAAGCAGATGAAACTGCCGGCATTAATTAAGTACAGTCTTCTCCATTACTGCACCACTTTTACATGTGCATTGGAGAATTACTAAGCTTCCTATTCTAGATCAGAGTTCTTCCTGAAGCATACACACTCCCACAAAGTGCAAACTATGATGCAGAAATATATTCAGACAGAAAACCCCATATCCACAGTTATTCTAGTCAATATAAGCATCTAGGAAGGCAGAACTACACATGCCTGTGGGGTCCTAATATCTCTCAGTGCAATAAAATGTTCCCATCCAGAAACATTCAAGGACTCCAAGAAATCAAACATAGCTCTCTCCCTATCCCCACATTTAGAAACATATCTGTATTTATAGTAAAAGTGACATGAAGATACAGCTGGCAACCCTGGCAGAAACTCTTGCTAAACTCACATTAATCCTTTTAGTGGGCTCAACAACTTGATACAGGATTGAAGACCTAGGAGCAGCTGCTGACTGTTACTAGCTATTTGTCATAGGTCAATTATGTGGCAAAAATTGTAGCCCAGTGACAATGAAAATGTCAAAACACTCAAAATGCCAATAGCATGGTAGATTTCTGATGTATGCCTGCATGCAACTAGAAAGTAGGCTTTGACACACTGTGCTAGAAATTATAAAAAGTGTCTTGTTCATTTCAAATTCTACTAAATACACACTCTAGCTCTTCACCTGTTCTCTGGAGTTTGACAGGGAATTGGATAGCCTATGGAAAGAAATGGCAATGCCAACTCAGCGGCGCTCTTTTTCGTGGAATGCTGGAGAGTTATGTAACAATGCTGGTCCTAGACATTGCATAAAGACTGAAGCTAAGGGATTCACATTAGGCATCACTGTGTTGGAAGTAGCTTCAGTGCTGAATAATAACTGGCTGTGCAATGGAAAACGTCAAAATAATTTGAAGTATGGAGAAAGAGAGTGTAGCGCTGGGAATGCTCTCTCTGATAATTTATCTGAAATATGGCCAAGTAGCCTAAGTAAGATAAGGGTGTGTCAGGAATTCCACAGGTCTTACCATGATCACTTTCGGTTCCTGACCGGCCCCAGTAACGGCGTCTCCGTTCAGGGCTGTGTGCATGCCGTTCAATAACTGCGGCTATAAACCGAGTGTTACTGACTAGGATTGAACATAAAGAAGAAGAAAAAGAAGAAGGATCACATATTTAATGAATGGATTTGTTTAAGAGATGACGTTATGAAACATAAAGATGTTATTATACATTCTGTGAAATTACAATCATGATTAATTTTCTAAATGTCACAAGAAAAAGAGGAATTGACTACAGTATTAGGTTGCTAAGCTAGCTCTAAGTAGGTGAAATTACAATGCTTGCTGCAAAAAATGCCAGAGATACCTGTAGAAAGCCTGGCCAGGCAAACACAGGAACTTGTTGAATAACAAGTGTGGCAGAGTCTACCTACAGCCGCTTCAGAATCCTTGAAAGTGGACTAGTCACTGAGAGTTTGCAGACTAACTTGGTGAGGGGACTGACTGTGCCCTCACTAACAATATAGTACTTATTGTTAGTGAGGGCACAGAACCCAGCCAGTCAGAAATCAAAGGCAGCTCATGAATCATTTATCTAACAACTGTTTGAACTTGGGTTACATCTCTACTTTCCAGATCATGTTTGTTCTTTGGAAGAATGCATGACGCCAGGAAGTGGTGCTGCAATACAAGGAACATACATTTTTGTCATGGGTTCAAAACACCACTCAGCCATAAATTCAATGGGTGGCCAAAGGGAAGTCAATAATTCTCCTGTTGCTGTTTCCAAGTCTGTAAATAGGCAAACACTGCAGCTGCATGCAAAGAGCCAGTGAATGGGACCAATACTATAAAGCATCTGCAATGGTTATAAGAGATGATAAATGCTATATTTTGGTTATAGGGAAGACAGCAGTGGGCGAGAAGAGTGCAGAGCTTCTCCTCATTTTCTTCCCCAACTCCAACTGCAATGTGACTACTAAATACTTACTGATTCCTCTGTCTTCATGACTGTCATCATCCCTCTCATCCCTATCATTCTCCAGGTTGGACATGCGGACTGACATTTCTATATACCATTACAAACAGAAAAATGCAACTGTTAAAGAGAAAAATGTTGCATTAGCCTGTAAGAGTGCAATGCTTTGGCAATGGCCATGAGATGCCCCCCTTTTTGGGATGCAAGTTATCAGAGGCTCAGAAATCTGAACAGCAAGCCAAGTTAATAATCTAGCTGAAGCTGTGGGCAGGAAGTCCCGAAAGACAGTTAGCTTTATTGAAAGTAAGGGTGCAAACTGGCTCATTTCTTGTCCTCCTTTGTTAAGCATGCAATGTCAATGTAACAGTTGGACATAAAATATGGGGTGACTCATTACAGTTTAACACTGGTTAATTCCTATCAACTTCCAGTTTGCAACTGTTGCCTTTATTTCTTCCTATTTAGAACTCATGAAGCTCCATCTTTCCAGCTCAGAAAGAGTACCCCTTCTAAAAATATTTTGCTTATTGCACTCACAGTGTCATCTGTGTTTCTACTGACAACCATCTGTCTTTTGTGTCATAATAGGCTTTCAAGAAATGTCAGAAAGCTGCCATGCTCTAAATCTCCCCACCCGCCTGCATGCAATTACAACTCCTTGGTGTGCTGTTTCTGTTCTTAACTCCTGTATGTGCTTGCCTAGCATTAGCACAGTGGCACTCAACATCTGCATTGAAGAAAGCCACAGGAGAAGAAAAGTTCTCAAGGTGCTTATATTTAGTAATTAAAATTCCCAGTTCCTGACAACATGTTATCAGCCTGCCTTGATGAATCATAGACTTTCCCAAAGTGTGCTGGGGATTTAATTTAATAAACAAAAACTTTTTGAAATACTGCTTCTCTCAAGATTCTGTTTGCTCTGCTTCCAATGCGCCCCCCTTTCTCCTCCTGTTCATTCAGTATGTGTATGCCATATTATAGAGATGCGTTGAAAACAGTACATCAGCAATAATGTGCTTTCTCTTCTGTCATGCTACAAAGAAGAGAACAATCCCATAATACTGAGCACTATTTCATATTGCTCCTAGAAAAGAACTTACCTAGAAAATATATACATATCTAATATAGCATATGTTATGTGATAAACTCTGATAAGACAGTCACATATCTAGAATGCTCTACTTTGTTGACAGGAATCTAGAAGCCTAAAGTCTGGGGGGGGGGAGAATCATATTTGCAAATTCCTATTGATTTGTTTGAAATTTTTTCAAGTCCTCTGGTAAAATCAGTACAGCTCTAAATTCTGTATCCAGCAGAGGGCAGTCGTGCTTTTCTAATACGGCAGATAAGCAAGTAAAATGAATATTGCATGAGGTGTGGTTATAAATACAAACAGACTTCAGAAAATCAGAAATGGAGTCAGGATGAGGAACCCCTCAAGGTAATTTAGGTTGAGACAACTTTAGTGAATGTTACTGAAACATTTTAAAATAAGCTCACCCTGCGCAGCCAGTGGGGACATGTGCTGATGACTCCTGCGGTGGATCTGGTGACGATAGGCATAGACTGCCAGCACTAGCACCATGATACATCCCATAATTCCTCCTGCCACAGGGCCAACTGGAGCACTTTTTATCATGTTCAGAGCGATCACCTCATCTCCTAAATTTCAAAGGGGGAGGGGGAAGGAAAAGCATAAATAAATGCTTTGCAAAAAATCTCAAACCATCTTAAACACAGATTAGAGGCTGGAAAGAAAGCCAAAGGAATCCTAATCCTGATCACACAGAAAATTTTTTTAGAAAGAAAATGAAAACATAACGCGTTTCCCCAAAAATAAGACAGGGTCTTGGGGGTAAGCATAAATAAATGCTTTGCAAAAATCTCAAAGCATCTTAAACACAGATTAGAGGTTGGAAAGAAAGCCAAAGGAACCCTAATCCTGATCACACAGAAAAATTTTTTAGAAAGAAAATGAAAACATACCGTGTTTCCCCAAAAATAAGACAGGGTCTTATATTAATATTTGCTCCAAAAATGCATTAGGGCTTATTTTCAGGGGGTGCTTTATTTTACAGTCATGTTAACTTCCGGTTGCTGCACAATAGTGGAGGGCGGGGTTTCACTTAAATGGGGCTTATTTTGGGGGTAGGGCTTATATTTCGAGCATCCTGAAAAATCACACTAGGGTTTAGTTTCAGGTTAGTTATTTTTTGGGGGAAAGGGTAATTGGTTTTGAAAATAATACTTTGTAAACAAATCTGTCCAGCTGACAGCTCCATCTAACATATGCAGATGGATCTGACAGGAATGTTCAGGCTTGCACACTGGGAACTGCATCTCGCCTTGCAGACGGCAATGGTCGGAAACACTATATATTATACAAAGCCAGCCACACTATATTCTTCTGCTACTGCAGTAAGGATCCCAAAGGGTGCTTGAAATGCTAACTGTATTTCCTTATGAGAGAAGATCTTGAGTCAGGTCTTGGAGCAGTACCCATAAAACAGTATCCATTAAAAGTTTTGCCACTCCATATGGTTGCTGAGGGTGCTTGGACAACCCCAGTTGTATGCCAAATCAGAATGTGTCAAATGCATCAAAGTCTACCCTTACCAATGGCTCCCATATCATCCACATAAGGGCTTTTGGCACCTACAATCCCACCGAAACATTCTTTCTGAGGGGCACAATAGGATTTGTCCAGATGGGTCTTTCCGTCACTGTCCACCATGCACCACTCACAGTCTAAAACACCAAAACAATCCCTGCAAGATAAGGAGATTGCAACATTAGAATGTTAGCACTTTTAGAACACACCCCAGCCCCAAAATCCTTCCAAGTTGCATCTTGGTGAGAAATCAGTGAGATCACTGGCACACTGAATGTCAACTGGCTCTAATTCATCTCACAAACAAAGGTATACAACACACTAAAGTTTTCCCAAGTCTGTTGAGGCTAGAGTTGTCCTTTGCAAGAACTTGTCTCTGTAACAAAGAGACGAAGTCTTACTTTGTAGGATAATTATGCATCCGGAAACCTTAATTTCTCCCAGTGTTGTACAATATCTTTCTACGGTAATTGCTACAGTAATGTTTGTCTTGCAAAGACCCAGTATGAAATTTAAACATGACTTATTATTTCTAATAGGTGTGGACACATGTAGCTTACATGTAGCCCCCAGAGCCCCATCATGAACCCAGCAGTTTGCTGAAAACATGGACAACTGGCCTCCAGGAAGCTGAACCAAAAAGGCACAGCTGCCCATGAGCTCTGTCTCATTAAGAAAAGCTTCACATTTTAAAAAGCAAACCCTGAAGTGGACTTTTGGCTGCTGCTGTGTTTGGCAAAGGAGAACAGGTGGAACCCTGGCATTGGGCCCTCTCAAACTGCCCATCCTGATATAGATGCTTTTTTTCCTAGGTCCTCTTTGCCTTCAGATAATAAAGGCAAAACCTGCTTTCCTGCCAAGAAAATGTTAAAGAAAAAAAAAAACCCAAACGAAACCATGCAATTTACCCGCTTTCCATCCGTTGATTACATCGTGTATTAATACATTGAGGGAGAGCATCTTGCAGGTTGGGCTCAACTGTAGCAAATGTCATAGGTTCCTGGTGGACTTCGCAACTAGGGTTCCTAGGTTTTGGAGGAGCACAGGGGAAATCAAATTACAGAAACATGCTATGCTACTCCCGTTAAAAGTCAACAGACCCTCTAATCCGACGGACCGCCTTACAGTGTGCATCTTTCAGCACAGAGAAATATAATCCAAGCAAACATATTGTGACCTTCTACAGAAAAACCCATTATTATTTGCACTAAGCAGTACTTACCTGTTTTCTGCATTGGTAAGATTGCCCGTACACTCATTGACCTCCAGAGGGCACTCACAAGGACATTCACATTCGTTCTGTTCCATTCTTCAGGAAAGAAAGAAAGAAAGAACAAAAGTGGAATGCTTTACTAGAGTTCCTGGATTTCTCCCCAATTCTCTCTGCATCTCTTACGCTGGGCCCAGGTGACACTACACTGGGCAGTGGGGGCAAGAGCTCTCTTTTCTCGCTGTATATGTCACCCTGGCAAAGGTGCAATACAATATACTCCATTCTTCCCATACAGCTAAACTGCATTCAATTTATTCCCAGTGTAACTGCTATAAGGTGAGAGGTCTATCCCAGCATCTTGTGACTTAGAGCGGCTGCCCAGAAACCTACAGGAAGCTCATAAGCAGGACATGGGGATAAGAGTCCCATCCCTTTGTTGTTCCCTAGAAACTGAATTAAAAGGCAGGCTGCCTCCAATAACTCGGAGGTAGCATAAAGCTATTACGGCCATTAGTTACTGACAGCTGTTCCCTACACAATTTTGCCTAATTTCCCTTTAAAGACATCTAAAACGGTGGTGATCAATAAACCTCTTGGCAGCAAATTCCATAGTTTAACAATGTGCTGTGAGGTGACCTTCCTTTTGTCTGTCCTCTAATCTCCCACAAGTCAGTTTCATTAGATGATCCTGGGTTCTAGTATGATGAGAAAGGGAGCAAATCACACCTCCATCCAATTTCTTTACAATGCAAATAGCTTTCTTATACCTTTACCACACCCCTTCCTCGCTTCAAATTATCATTAAATACCGTATTTTTCGCACTATAAGACACACTTTCCCCCCACAAAACAGGGGGTGGAAAGTCTGTGCGTCTTATGGAACGAAGAAAACAGATTATTTTTTCCTGTTTTCTTCTCCTAAAAATTTGGTGCGTCTTATGGAGAGGTGCGTCTTATGGAGCAAAAAATACGGTATTTGCTTCAGACACCTGGTTATTTTCTCCCTACTCACCTGTTTTTCTGCCCTTTTCTGTATACATTCCAGCTCTACACTATCATACTTGAGATGCAGTCAGTTTGGACATGCCGACCGACAAGGAGAGAGTGCAAGTTCTTCTACACACTGCTGAGCCTGGTATTCAGGACATTGAATGCTGGCAATGTGATTCCGTGGCTACTTGAAGCAAGCTAGGTCAAACAGAGGATATTCCTGATCTTTTGATGATGTGGTTGAGAGTACAACCAAATGTGTGGTACAGCTCCACAGCCAAAGTGACTTTCCTCTACACTCAAATAGCTAGGGGTATACAAGCCATCACTCCCTATCCACACATCTGAGCTTGAGAGAACAGTGACTAGGAGGAAGGGGGAAAGTATGGCAGGCATGTTCAGCCAATTTTTCAGCTGCCATGATGACTCTGTTCCTGATGTTTTAAACTGTGTTAACACATTCTCCAAACACAGGATATTTAGGTATGTGGCACTCTGCAGGACTTAAGGATCAGCATCCTGTTGTGTCACTCTGCTGGTGTGATGGGAATGAATTGTCTTCAGCCCAAAACTGCTATTGGCTAAAGACTTCTTTTTTTCAATTTTGATCCTGTCTCATTGTGCACGAGTTATACATAACCTGATTTTTTTTTTTTAAAAAAAAAGAGAACTCTCTAATCAGCAGCAATCTGCTGCTGGCTGTGATGTCATTCTCATTAGGCCAGCAGAGCTACACAACAGGATGCTGGCCAAAATATCCCTGCTTGCGATATACTTAGTGCAGTCAACTACTGCAAAGAAGTAAACAATACCCATTGCTCTGCTGTGCTTTCATTTAAAATGAGTACAATCTATTCATCATACTTCACTTCAAGTTTCTCTTACCTGTGACAATTCAGACACAGCCTATCTACCATACTACAGGCACAGAAAGCAAGCGAGTCACAGGTTTCATTTACTATTCCAACAAAAGCATTGGTTCCAGGTATTCTTGTCAGCTTGTATTTAGAACAGTGGCTGCCATGCACAAGATTTGTCAGATCACCCTAGGGGAAAGCAAAACACGTCAGACATGTGGCAGGGAACATGTTTCCTGGTGAGGTGAAGCGTTCCTGCCACTACAAATACACCTGTTAAAATGCAACCTGAACCCGAAGTGTTACCATGCAAGGTAAAACGGCTCTGTCCCTTTACATATATTACAGTATATGACTCTCATTAGTCACAGAAGAAAAAGCTACCCCACGTGTAGACTAATCCAATCATGAAGCAAAGAATCCATATGAAATGAACTGATCTGCTGGAGCCTTTGTAAAGGAATTGGGTGTGAGATACAAAATACAGTTAGGATGCACAGGCGTGGAATATACACACCAAGTGTTTTGTTGGGGAAAGTCTGATTAATTTTGCCAAAAGCCTTCCCCCCCCCTCTGTTTTTTGGCAATGGCCCCAAATAAAGCATGTCTAACCACTCACTGTCTAACCAAGAGACCTCTGATTCGAAGAATAGGGCTGTATTGCAAGTTTTGTTTTAAGTTATTCTCATGCTCTACATATAGAAAAAAGTACATTATGGGAGAGATGGGAACATGGCACTTCAGTACAGTGGGGTCTTGACTTAAGAACGGCTTGAGTTAAGAACATTTTGACTTAAGAACCGCTCTCATAGGAAAATATTGACTTGACTTACATACTTAGATTTGAGTTAAGAACTGAAAAAAATCCACGTGGGAGGCAGGGAAAGTGCAAAATGTGAACTTTCAGTTAACTGTTGGCTAGTGAAAAGGGTGCCTGTCTGCTTCCTCACTCCTCCCAGCGTTTAGAGAGTGGATTGGGAGCCAGTCTTCGGACTGCCTGGTACTGTACTGCCTGGACTGTATTTTCCCTGCCTTCCCTGAACCTTTCTTGACCTAAGAAAAAAAGAAACAAAATATCCCCCCTCTAGTGGTCGAAGGTGGAATAGCAGCTTCCCATTAGTTTCTATGGACGGAAAAGAGCAGATACGGATCAAATGGTTTTCAATGCATTCCTATGGGAAATGCAGATTTGACTTGAGAACTTTTTGACTTGAGAACCGCCTTCCAATACGGATTAAGTTCTCAAGTCAAGACCCCACTGTATAAGCACAGAACTCTATTTATATAGCTGTTTTCATTAATATAGCCAAATATAAATGGCAGGATGAAGTGAGCTGAAAATAAAGGGGGCAAGGAAAAGTACATGTGACTTACCTATAACTATGGCTCTCGAATGGAATGTGGGTATTTCTGTGCCTGCATGAAACTCGTTGGAACATTCTAGAGTTCATAGCAAACAGATTAGTGCAGCCCCCCTCCACTGAGCATGTCCCTGCACTTAGCAGTTATCCCTCAGTTCCCTGTGTCTACCACTGTCCATAAGTGGCACACTGAGGGGAAGATGTGTGGGTTGTGTGAATTCACAGATGACTACTCAAAGAATCACAGTTACAGGTAAGAAACTTGTTCTTCTTTGTGGTCTTTGTGGCTGACACATACGGGTGACTGACAAGTTCACTGCTCAACTAATGAGATGTCACACCAGCACAAATGAAATGAGGTATAGATGTTTTCTCAACCAACAGGTTAGTAGGCATCTTCTAGAGCAGCCATTTTGAACGAGAGCCATATGGCTCATTTGAAGGGGCCCACAGACTAGAAACAATTCTTCACACACCACCTTATAAAGTTGTCTGCCAACTGGTTGTCTTCCCTAGCACATAGATGGCCATTGGGAATATATTTTTAAGATTCACATGAAAACCAAGATCTGTCAAGAGACGAAGGGTAAATAAGATATTTAATAAGATATCTCTGTCTTGACCCTGGAGTTGGTCATAGCCAACCAGTCACCTACATAAAGGAACATCATTATATTACAGACACAGGAGGAACAGTTTAGGTTTATTGAAATACGGACTCTATGGCCGGTTGCGACTTTTCCCACAGTTGGAATTTTAGCTAGGACTCTTGGTTTCTAATAGCTTCCATAAATTTATGACAATGCTGGCAGGTTTGGGTTTGATGTCCCTCATCAAGACAAGACAGTTACAATATCCATTGGTGAGGAGGATCTTATTTGCGCACATGGCACACTTTTAAAAAAGGCACATTAAATGGCAGGAACAGCGAATGAATATTAACGATTAACTAAAGGTGTTTTTAAAGGGGGATTCACAGAAGGTTGAAGAAGAACAAAGAATTTAATGACAAAGGTAGGTTTAAACTGGGGAAAGGCTCTAGAAATAGGCTCCACAAAGTTTCCTGAGTGATAGCTAAAGGGAACAGAGGGATAACTGCTGCTGAGTGCACAGACATCACAGTGGAGGGAGGCTGCCCTAACAGTCTTTGGGCTTTGAAATCTAGAACGCTCCTATGAATTCTGCGCAGGAGCAGAGTCCAAGAAGACGAACCAGCATTCTGCTTCTTACATGTCCCAGGCTCACTAATGTTTCACTATAGATATGTATGCAGTAAGAAAACCCCTCGTGCATTATGCCAAAGGCCTATTTCATCCACGATCCATTGTCATTTTGTGTTTCACAGTAGCCAACCAAATGCTGGCTATGACCCTTTCTAGCAGCCGTTCCAACATTAGATACCAAGAAATGTTGCTCTCAATCTTTAAGGCTGCATGTAAGAAACAAACACAACACTCCAAACAACTCATTCATGCAATTTTCTTATATACATACATCTGTCTATTAAAAAAAACATAAACAAACAGCTGGTTTGAAAAGTGCCCGCCCCAACAAAACGATATACAAAAAGAACAGAAGCACAAATAGAAATTGAGGGGGAAAAACATACTGTCAGGCTGGTATTAAATTTATAAAACCTCTGGACTGTCCTGTCACTGAAACTGTTACAAAGATTCTTCTTCACAAAGTTTGGGTGGTTCAAGATATCATTTGCCACCAGAGGTTCCTACAAATAAAAGGGGAGAATGTCAATGTTTTAAATAAATTTTTACAAAGTATTAGGAGCAGGTTTAGGCCACTAAATTAACACTAATACCTATGTAATAAACTGAAAGCACAGCATAGCCAAACCTTGTGTGTAATATGTTGCTGTTCCACTGGCGCATGGCCTTTAGGATCAATGAGAGTTGGGTGTGCCACCAGATATCCTCTATCTTCCATAATAAAGCATCTACCAAAAGGAAACAATAAAATAGAACCTAGGTTAGAATACCTGTTCATAAACATTTAGGTAGGGTTGTGTGCTGCATAACCACATCAAGATAAACCCCTCTGAAAATAATAGCAATTACTTCTAAGAAGATGTGTATGGGACTCTGCTGGAAGCAAACTGATGTCCAATGTCTTCAACAGCTTCAATTCAGCTTCAACAGCAAAGTTTGGAGCAACAAGTTTTAAATAACTCGTCATCTAGTCGTTTAGTCGTGTCCGACTCTTCGTGACCCCATGGACCAGAGCATGCCAGGCCCTCCTATCTTCCACTGCCTCGCGGAGTTGTGTCAAATTCATGTTGGTTGCGTCGATGACACTGTCCTACCATCTCATCCTCGGTCGTCCCCTTCTCCTCTTGCCGTTACACTTTCCCAACATCAAGGTCTTTTCCAAGGAGTCTTTTCTTCTCATGAGATGGCAAAAGTACTGGAGCCTCAGCTTCAGGATCTGTCCTTCCAGTGAGCACTCAGGGTTGATTTCCTTTAGAATTGATAGGTTTGTTCTCCTTGCAGTCCAGGGGA